CAACTCTGTCATTCTGTTTAAAGCTGCAGCGTCGCGCTCACTCTTCCTCCTCTCTTTCTCCGTTTCTGATGCCCCACCCCTACCCCACACTCCCTCTTTTCCTTCAAATTTCCTTTTTTTCTTTTTTCTTTAATAAATGCAATGCTGAGGCATTTTCTCCTCTCCCTCTGACTAAAGCACTTTCTTTCACCCGCCTGAGCTTGCGGCAGCTTGCCTGAGCTCAGGTGGGCGAAAGAAAGTCTCTTTCGCCCACCTGAGCTCGCAGCAGCCCACCTGAGCTCTGCCATGAGCACAGGCGGGCGAAAGAAAGAGACTTTCTTTTGCTCACCCAAGCTCGCGGCAGCCTGCCTGAGCTCTGCCGCGAGCACAGGCAGGCCCGCCTGTGCTCGCGGCAGAGCTCAGGCGGGCAAAAGAAAGTCCTTTACTCAGTGGGGTATCGGGGGAGAGGACTGCCTCACCAACCATAAACCTCACTGCATGTCACTGTAAGCAGGATATATTATAGAAGGAAGAATACACAACTTAGGAGAGAAAGTTTAAAATATAATTGTGCTTATAAGTGCAGTGAAGAATATTGGAAGCACATTTGTAACTTTCTTTCTTCCCTATTTGTCTTCAGTTGTTTTCTTTTCTTGCACTTTTTGCTTTCTCTTTGTTTCTTCCTTAATTTATATTAGGGTGTATTGGTGATCATCTCCTTTCCTAAAGCTTCCCCAAAAAAATCATATTTTTTTTTAAAAAAATGGATAGCCAATGACCACGGTGATCATATCAGCCAAAAGATTGATAAGGAGATTGAATTTAATTCCTTACAGGACTAAATATAAGCATTTACACCTAATTCGTATATTTGGGAGTACCAACTTTCCACCATTTTGGGATTAATTTGTTCTTCTCTTGCATCCTAAAAATCATTTTTTAAGCCTAAATGTTCCATAGTAAGGAACAACCCTTGGGTGCCATAATATTTGTAATTTTTCCCACTGCACAAAATGCCTTAATTTTTTAAAAATATGGTACAGATATAGCTTTGATTTAGCATGAGCTACAGAGCATGTTATCTTATAGAGAGAATGTGTTCTATTCATGACTTGTAGAACTTACATCGCTAGCAAGTTCATTGGCTCTTTTAGCAATCTGATAAGCTGGTGTTATCATAGCAGGGAAGCTTCCTTTCCCTCTTTGTTGTTCATATTCCTCTGGGTATTTAAACTGGAAAAAAAAGTCAAGAATGTGTAAAGCTACAGCAATAGAGCTATAAACCCAGTTCATATAAATCATGGCCTAGATCAATATGCAAAACAATACATATAATACCATACATACTTTTTAAATATATATAGAAAGGTAAGTAAGAAATAGTAAGAAGACCCACATATATAATTTTTCTTTATACTTACATCACTCATGAATTGGCCCCCAGACGTTTCATGAAGTATTTCTGGAGTATCCATAATACTGCTGAATTTGGAAACTTGTTCTTTATGTCCCTGTTTGTATTCCACCTAGGGATGGAAAGACAACATTGCTTGAAAATAAATAAAGAAAAAAAATTCTTGCTACTAAACAGAAAAGGGCAGGAATATCTCGTGGGTTTTCATTTGGTTTCAGTTTCTGCAAAGTTTCATATTTTGGACTGAAATGATTTGTTCAACTTCTATATCTATACCAGTTAGGGTTCCAAATAGCATCCTCAAACAAATAACACTCCAAGGCTAGAAGTTCCTCAAAGTTGCAATTTATTAAAAGGCATGTTGGTACATCTGGAAAACCCAAATCTGAAAGCTTCCAGGTTTTCCCACCCAGTTGAAACTTCAAGATCCTGCCCCAACACCCACAGGTTTATCGCATGGTCCAATCTTCCACTGACTCCACCCATCTAGTTCCAGCCAGGTGCGGAGTCAGAGGATGACCTTGGCTTCCTAATAAGAATATTATTATGGCTACATATCACCCAATTCCACATAATACCCTCAGTTTCCCACAATAGAAAGTGTGGCAGGCCTGAAGTCCAAAAGAAACTTGCAGGCATGACAATGCCTATGTGGTCTGCTTATACTTGGCTTGATTTAGGTCAAAGTATATGCCCTCCCTTTTATTTATTTTTTTACTTTTTATTTTTTTAGAACCACTTACCTACATAATCGGAAATTCTGAAAATTACCATGGATAGCTGAGTACAAGATTTTATTATACACCAGTGGTACTCATGGACGAATAAAAAAGATTGAAAGCATTGATTTTTGTTTTGTTTATATAACAGAGATGTCTACACCTATTCTTATTTCATTAATACATGAACTTGGAATTCTGTCATTTTGCTAAATAAATTGAAATAAATCAGAACTAATTACACTTCCTCGCGGTAAGTTTTTAAATTGACAGAGATTAGAGTTTAAGTTATTGTCTGATTTCTTCATCTTGACACAATTTTTTATGAGTTATTCTCAACTGTTAAAATTTAGTTTATTGGCTGTTTAGACATACAAGAAAAAAGTTCTAGACAGATCTGAAAGAAGATCTACAAGCAAGACTTGAGTGATATTTAAAGTAAGATAGAAGTGATTAAGATGACTACTTAATGTAAGATCAATTTATAATCTGAAAGAAATAAAAATTATTGATAGTAGTACCATAATATTATTTTAAATTAATATACAGAATCTTGAACACATTTCTTTGGTAAGGCCAGTCTGTAATGTTTTCTCTATATACATTAAAGTATATATTAAAATAAATGGATATAATTTCACTTTTATAATTATTCAGAATCAGAACTAAATCAGAAGCAGAATTCAGTTTCTCTTTGGGTTTTCAATCATTATAAGACTCTACTATATTCCAGGCAAGTATTGTGCATGCATGTGTGCATGCATGCGTGCATGCGTGTGTGTGTGTGTGTGTGTCAGTTTCACTCTCAGTATCTGTGCTTTATGTTGCAATCAACAAATGTGCATGTGTGTAAAATACTGGACCACAACTAATGAGATCTGTTTCCCTATGAAAATGAGATAATCAGGATTTAAAATAGCTTCTACATTTCTTTTTTTTACAAAAAATTAACTAGGCCTCTCAGTATTATTACTTTAGTTGGACTCAATATCAATTAATTTATTTATTTTCTAAGTCATGCCAGTCCAGAAGTTTCTTGGTAGCTAAACAGAATTTAAAAACAACAGTATTATATGACCAAAAAAAGTTAATGAATTAGGAAGTGTTAGGGGACCAAAACCATCTTCCGTATCCTTAGCAACTCTTAAGACATCTCAACCAAGGCCTGAGGGAAAAGCCTCAAGGGTTTCAAACAATATTTAATGACAAATAAGGTGGAAGCTACACAGATTTCTAGGTGATATTATTCCATAAGACAGGTGAATATGAAGTGCCATCTTGTTTTGATGAAAGGAGGTTGAACTTATATTCTCTGGCCTTATTTGTCAAACCATTATGCTGATTTTATTCTCTACAGGCCAATTAATTGCCAATGATGTTCATTTTAAAACATGGACATGACAAAGGATATATAAATATAAATATATCGCCTAATAATATTAAGGGGGGGGGGGAAATCCTTCAAAACTATATGGAAATTCTGAAAGGTTTATGGAATGGAAATAACTATTTGTAACATTACCCAATTTTTAAACAATGGTAATTTTAAATACTTTGATCCTCAGTTGTTAAACTTTTGTTTTTTGTTCATATCACAAAATAAATGTAGTTATTAATCAAAATGCTAGTTTATTTGTTTTGTTTATTTGTTAGTAAAATTTATATAGTCATTCATGTCATGAGAAGAGACTCTTGGCAGCATATAACAGTCAGAGACTGCGCAGACACATGGGTGGCCAAAGAGTAAATCTACACACATACGCACACAAAATTTTACAAGCATTGGCTTTAATCCTTAAAGAATTCCCAACCACTATCCTCATAGCACAATCTATAGCATGCATGCGTGCGTGCGTGCATAAATAAATGAATAAATAAATAAAATAAAATAAATCTCGTTTCTCTCTCCTCAAATTCATTCTCAAGAACTTACATCACTGGATAGCTCTGTGGCCTTCTTGGCAATCTGATATGATGGAGTCATAGAAACTGGAAACCTTCCCTTTCTGTTTTGCTGCTCATATTCCTGGTTATTCTTCAGCTAGACAAAACAGATATGTATGTATGTATTCATTTACACTTGGCCATGAAATTATTTTTTCTAATATTGATTTATTGGCATCTCAATTTGCAATGGGTTAGAAATCAGGAGACTGTGAATTCCACTTCTAGTCTTGCCTTTGGACTGGTCACTCTCTCTAAGAAGTCTTAGAAAGTATGTAAAACCACTTCTGAAAATGTTTCCAAAAAGATGTTATGTCCAGTTGCAGAGAGTTAAGGCTAACTTGAACACATAGACACAAAGTTTCAGAATAACAAGGTATATTGTATATATGTGTGCACTTTCTAATCAATGCATCTTTATTGGGCTTTAAAAGCCCAATATTGGGCTTAGAAGCTGCTCTTGAAGCTATTGTCTAAATAGTCCTTTTATTTGGTACATTTGATACATTTGCTGAATACATTTTTCTTCATAGAAAAATAATCTTTGCTTTACCATTTTTTTAGTTTTCAGAAAGCTGTCCCGGAGATGGACCGAGTGCCAACTCCCTTTACAAAATTTCTTTCCATCATTCCATTTGACAAGAAAGAATAAAAACTTCAAGGATTCTACATGATAGTCATAAGCAATGAGTAATAAGCATAAGCGATATTTTTTTTAATTGGAAGAAAAGCAGAATTCAGAACTTTTAAAATGTTCACTTCTTTTGTCTTTATTATAACTTAATCAGAAGATTTTTCCAAAGTCACAGAATAAAATACTGAAAATAGTCATCCATTGCTCATTTTCTAAATTACCATTTCTACCAGATTATTTTATGTCACGTCCTTCTTTTCATTTGTATCATGTCTTTTTCCACAAGTTTAATACAACAATTTGATTCCATTGGTAACATTTCACTTAGGTTAGACTGAGTGTTCAAATTAAGAAGTGAACTTTATGATATAGCAAAAATTTCAATATGCATTATTTCGCATCCAAATTCAGCAATCCAAGTGTCATAATTATTTATTATTTTAAAATTTACACTGGAATAAGACAGGAGGCAGAATAACAATTAATTTGAATTTACATGCCATATCTAAATATCATCTCTGTGTAATTAGTTATAATTACCAGGATTCTAAATAATTTTAATAAAACATTACAAACAAAAAGTTATTTCTTTTAAAAAGCTCTCTGATGAGATGAATACAAGATGGAGAAGCTAATAGAGAAGAAATTATTTCTTAAAAACAGACATACAGTTTTAAATAATTCTTTCTCTATCAGTTCCATGTCCCCTTCATACATTGTAGGCAATGTAGAGGTAATGGCCCAATATTTTTTAAAAAGTAAACACAGTCTGTGAAGGCTGTATGTGACAGGAAGAATAAGGACAGCATTTTATTTCCTCCTATTTCCTTATGTCAGTTAGCTGAGAAAATAAGCCTTCAAATAATATTTGTTTTACAGATCAATGTCATAATGTAGTAATATACTTACATCACTAAAACCTTTCTGTGTTTGTGCTATCTTGATCATTTCCAACTGTGGGATAGTTTCTCTATACCAGGATTTGCTTTCATTACATACATCATGGTAGGTTTTCTAAAAAAGAATAGATGTATAATAAGAAATTAGTACAAAGATTACATCCATTTTTATTAGTTTTCCAAAAATGAATTAGTTTTCTAAGTAGTATTTATAAATAAAAGGCACATATCCATTTTATGGAGTTACATCAATTTTATACTGGTCTTAGAGCCGAGGTGGCACAGTGGTTAAATGCAGCAATGCAGGCTACTTCAGCTGACTGCAGTTCTGCAGTTCGGCTGTTCAAATCTCACTGGCTCAGGGTTGACTCAGCCTTCCATCCTTCCGAGGTGGGTAAAATGAGGACCCGGATTGTTGTTTTGGGCAATATGCTGACTCTGTAAAATGCTTACAGAGGGCTGAAAGCCCTATGAAGCGATATATAAGTCTAACTGCTATTGCTATTGCTATTATTGCTTTTGTATAGGAACTGAAAATTTCCCCTTTTCATCTGTTCACACTGAACATGAAGAGTGAATTACATATAACTGTTTTTTATTTCAGTTCCAGGACATTTCAGCAAGCTGGATATAGACTAGAAACCCATTAAGTAACATCCTAATCTCCTCTGTCCAGTACATTTGCCACAATTACAACATTATGTAATTGCAAGGCAGTTTCCTATTTTGTTTTTGATATTCACGAATCTAACTATGGCGTCTCATTTTTAAAATTCAGTCACCATTTTTTTTTCTTTACAAGAGACATTAGCCATACCTAGAGAATAGTTTGCTCAAATATCTCTATGTTATGCTGAATCGAATATAAATCAACCACATGGTCTAAATTCACATAAGCACATAAGCAAAAAGGTGGCTGGCTGTTGGTTATATTATGTATTACACAAATAAGTCTCAGTGGAGTTATCCTGCAAATAAAAATCATTTTGAGTTTAATTCCCCCTCTCAATTACTTTTGTTATGTGATAGGATTACCTTTTTTCTATTTTTAAAATAAAATTATAAGTATCTAACAAAAATAGCTGAAGATAAATGTGACATAAGTATAAATAAACATGAAATTCTGTATGTCTACTCAGAAATAAATGCTTTGCTTGCAGCCATAATTGTATAGATCACCATTCTAAGCTTTGCATGACATCAACATAAATCTTCAGATCAGGCCACCAGTAATTCAGACATGGTCATATATGGCTCATTCTTCAAAAAACCAAATGAGGGTTGGATAAAAGTTTCAGCATGTCAATGGTCCAAGTAAGAATTGTTGCAAACTCATGCTGAGAGCCAAATTAAAATAAATTAATAAATTAAAGTAAATTAAAACATAATAAAAGCAAATTAAATGTTTCTAATATGCATGCATACTGTGTAAAATATACAGATTACATGTTGTTAAATGGCAGTCCCCTGTCCGCAAGTCCTGTTACTCCATATCATGATAGGCAAGAGAAAGGGAGGAATGGTTGCAAAATATTGTATATGACAGGAGAGTCACCCAAGATTAGAAAGTAATTTTAGCTCACCAAAAGCAAGTTGCTACCTATATTAATAGAAAACTATACTAGAAAAAAAGATGATCAGTGACAACAGCAAAGGTAACATCCATACTGGCACATGGTAAACCAGTCAGTTTCATATCAAGAAAACCACATTGGTCTGTGGTTAAAGTGACAATGTAGTGCCAGATAATGGACTCTTTGAATAACACTCAAAAAAGAGTAAGGCAGCTTCTTACTCAAGGCACAAATAACCAAGCTCAGTTTATCATATTTTGGAAACATTATACAAACACCCAGCTCTCTTGAGAAGTCCATAAGGCTGGAAAACATTTTTAAAAAATGGCATGCTAGAAACTCAATTATAGTAACAAAGGATGTGCCTTTGGGAAACCTGAACATCCAGGTTTCTGGTCTAACTATCTAGTGGCTCAATCAATCAAACCGCACAAGAAAATTGTGAAGAGCTGGAGATTAGTATATTAAGCCTTGATGATTTTTCAGCTTTTTACCTGACTTATTTGTTGCATTTTCTGTGTGGCTTCCATGTCTTTAGATTTTGCATCACAGTGAAAAACAGACTTGAATTTCTCACCCTCTTCTCTATATTTAACCTGCATAAACGTCCATATTCAATTGCAATGAATAAAAAAGGCATTGTATTAAATAAATAGCTATATAGCAACTATACATTATCTTAGTGTACTAGAACATGAATTTTCAAGTTCTTTGGTTTATATTGTATATTTCAAAGATGCATCACAAAGCACAGGTTTTAAGATTTAATTTTAGAAAAGATGTATAAGACAGTGAAAATTATATTAAATATATTTTAATTATTTTATTTAAAAATATACTACCTCATAATTTGGAAATGTACATAAAGCAGTTCACAATATGACCAAATTTGCCAAATAGGATACTCAGTATTGCATCAGACCAGATTCCATGCTCTTGTTCACAATATCTCCTAGCGTATGACATTTGCATCTGATCCTAGAAACATTATATACCCCACACTATTTATCCATTTCAATGCCTAAGCTAAGAAATGATTTGAGATTTGGTGCCAATGATTTTCAGGCTAAGGATTCTGTGAAATTGCAATGTGGATGCCAATGCTGTTGTATTTGGAATTTTAAAAAAATCATTGATACCATGATCTGCAGAAATCTCTTTAAGAATCATTCACTGAACAAATGGAGCAGATTGTATCCTAGATCTGATTTACTATTGGAAATGTGTATCCAGAAGAATTGATTTTTTACACTTTTTATCCTATCAAACATTTGGAATTTGGAAGCAGTGATTTCCATAACAACATATTGTTCAGTTGCATTAAATTCTAAATAACAGAATAACAGAGTTGGAAGGGACTTGTAGGTCATCTAGTCCACCCCTCTGCTCAAGCAGGAGACCCTATACCATTTCTGACATGTTGCATGTGAATTACAAGAAAGTGGACAAGGGTCTACAACAAGTCTTGACAACCACCACTGCATTCAATTCTTGCCTACTTTTGTGTGTTCTGACTTATAAGAAAGGAACAGATAGTTAATGATCTCAAGATCATTAATTTTGCACTTTGAAATAAGTTTGTTTTCAGGCTTTCCTTGGAAAACATTACTCTGTATTCCCAAGTAGTAGATAACTATAGACTGCAAAAACTTTCCCTTGGGTAAAAAGTTAGACTGTATAGCTGTCTATCAACTCTAGGCATTTGACATGAAATTAATTTGATCTTCTTTAATTAGCTTTTCTAGCTTTCTTGAGGCAAAAGTGGTATTATTTCTTTTTGGACTTCTCAGCATCTTTTGATGGTATCTATGACAGAATCCTTCATTTAAAAAATGAAATTATGAGAAACAACTCTTATAAACTCCCTCTGAATTTTCTTGGAAGCTTCATTTTATGACTATATAGGGCAGGGTATCTTCGATATGGCAAAAGGAAAGGAAAAATAATCTCTGTTTTTTTCTAGCACTCAATTTACTGGAAGTAACAAGATCTCCTATCATGACCTTCAAACGGAAATAGATATTGTTTTTGATCCCTGACTCATTCCTGACCAGTTATCTCATGCTCAGTTTAAAAGAAATATAATTGTTGTTCTTGTAGGTTTTATGAGGGGATAATTCAGAAGTATAATTTTGATTTTTTTCTATATATATATAAGAAATTTCAAGAAATCATCTAAGAAAGCAATATAGAATGAAGGTCATAAAGCTGTAACAACAATGCCCATCATACTTTAAATGAAATAGAAACATCAAATACATATTCATATCATACATATTACATCTGCAAACTTACTCAGGAATAAATCCAATGAACTAGAAGAATTTATATCCAAGCAAATATATATTGAATTGTAGGAGATTTCCTGTTTCAATAGTGAAAACTCACAGGCAGTACAAAAAGAACCAAAGCCAGAAATTTAGGAAAGCTGTAACTGGTAGCACAGTAATTTTTATTAAAAGTATTTGGACATATTTTACTGACAAGGGGAATGGTATCTAGCAACCTCCATAAAGTCTTACAAGGTTTCTCCATTGCAGCTATGAAGAACGCATTTGACTTTATATTTCTGCTTAAAATAGAATTTCTCAGGGTCAATGTCAAATTCAAAAGAAAAATAATAATTCATTTTTTAAGCTAGCTAGCAACTTGGAGAAATAGAGCAAATATACATTTTAGTGGAAGAAGTGAAATTGTTATGTCTACAGTTACCTTAAAAATTGAACGTTATAATGTGATACACATTGCACATCTTACCTCGCTTATTGCTTCAGACTGCTTTTTTACATTCATATTTAATGGTGTCTCAAAAATACTTGTGAATGTATTGTTTCTGGGGTTATGTCTATGAAAGAAAGCAGGCACAATTTTAGAGAATTATTATCAACAATCTCTAAAAGAATAGCATTCTTTTAAATAGAGACTCGTATTATCACATGACATTTATTTGATCACTGAACAAATTCCAACTTGAAAAACTAGGGACGTTTATCATTTAACTTTGGCAATAATTTATACATTGTTATATATAATTATAAATGTAAAAATTGTAATGATTATGTTTCAGACACTAAATATTTAACTTTTTAAATACATGGTGGGTCCCGAAGCATAAGAAGCGCTGTTACCTTCCCACTGAAGTAGTACATAACAGCACTCCGTGTCATGCTGGCCATATGACCAAGAAATGTTTCAGACAGCACTCAATCAATGTCCTTGAAACAGAGATGAGCATTGCCCTCTGTAGTAGGCAACAACTAGCAGAATAAAATCTGCAGACTCCTTTTTTACCTTTTATTGAAGCATAAAGAACTCATTTGATATTATTAGGCAAATAAAACACTGTATGTCTCTGCTCTTAATCAAGATATTGGGCCTTTCTCACTAGAGTTAAAGTATCATCCAGACATCCTTTAGTTATCATGAAACCAAAATAGCACAAAAATGTGCTAGCTCTGATACTAGTCTATCCTGTCTGTATTGCATGTCTTCTGAGTCACTGTTAAATGGTGTTACAATTTGTGAGAATGCCATTGATTGTAGGCCAGGGAATTATTTTTATATTTTGACTTTGCCGACATCCTTTTTCCGTGTGTCATCAAACAACAAGGAAAATGTCCTCTCATGATGGCACTGTTGCACTGTGATTGAGGCCAGAAGCCAAGGACCTGAGATCAGGCTGTGCTATTACAATAACTATTCTCGGGTGTCAACTATATGGCCTACTGAGAAATAAGTGGCTGCCAATCCATTGCAATGTAAAGAGAAGAGAAAGAGACATAGGATTTTAATTGGAGATTTTTCTTCTCTCTTCTCTCTTAAATCAGAGTTTTTGTCTTATTTTTTGTGACATTCACGGACCTAACTATGATAATATATTCCTAGTGGTTTTCTGATGTCTGTATTAAGAGTACACTATCAAGGCTAAGTCCTCAAATCTTTGCCTATGAGCTTTCTAATTCAATTAGTCTCGATGGTGCCTGATGTGCATAGGAAATGGGTTAGGAGACTGCCTAACTTCTCTAAGCTGGTTTGTTTTCCCATCCCATTTGGTCTTTTCCCAAATTAAGCTAATGAAATATTTTCCTTTTAGTGTCCTTCAGTGCAAGACTGATCATATGGGCCAATAAGAAAGTAAAGTCAGGAAAACAGAATTGTGCCAGTTCTGAGGGACTTATAAAAAAAAGGAAACAGAAAATACTCACTGGAAATGCTGATTTTTGAGTGAAAAATGCTATAAAAAGCAATAACAATATAATGCATTATAGCCATCCATGACTAAACATGAAGCTTTGAAAGTTATGCATGTGAACTTTCAAAAACATTTACCAGGGAGCTTGAATTTAGAAAAAATATAAAAATTTGTGCACAATATTGCATCATTCTGAAGCATTATTACTTGTCATTAACTGCACTCTATGGCAAGTAACTCTAGGCAGTTATCTCCTAGAGTTACTTGCCTAGAAGGCCTAATAACACAAAGGTGGCCCACTTCCTAATGACATTTAGATTCACTCTAATGCTTCCAAATTAAATAATTCGATAGAATTGGAGGTGATTTATAATGAGACCATAGCAGAAGTATTAACTTTTTTCATTTGATGGAATAGGAACTTAAAATCTGAAAAGTCATATGTTGCTAATAACTGCTCTAAATTAAAGAAACATATTTTTTCTGGGGTAAGATACACAGTCCAGTAAGTCTTCAAATAGAATAGAACTGTACCGCAAAACAAAATGGGTAAATTCAAAGAGAAAAAGAAATCTGTTTTTGAGTTTATTTCAATCACATTTAAACTAAACAAGCCATAGGTGATATAATCATCTTCCAGATATGCATGGAAATATTTTTCTCTTTTATTAGAAATGACTTTTAGGTAAAAGGGTCTACGACAACCAACAAGTTGTCCCATAGTGAATTGGTCATGTTGAGTTCTCCGACAGCGAGTTAGCCAGGTTGAGTTGGCCATGATGAATTGGTTGTGATTTTGCCAAGGCGAGTTGGCCCATTCTGCAAACTTCAGATAGGGGCACACAACTTGGGATTTCAAGTTGTGTGCTTTATATAAACTGGAGTACTTAGAGTACTCCTACTTTGGTCTTTATCTAATAACCAGTTATAATTCTGCTGAACTAAAACTCTTGTCATTATTTTGAGCAGGCTGGTTGGTAAATCTGTGAGTTGTAACTCAACACATCTGGAGATTAGAAGGTGGGAGAAACAGCTTGGTACTAAGAAACAATTGCTAAGTACCCCCTGGATATAAATTTAATCAGGCATTTCACTTTCTATCTTAGTCTTTTAAATTATCATATCTTCAACTGTACTTTTAAACAGAACTTAGTTTTAATGAATAATATACTGTATTTATTATTTTAAATGCTATGAACAGGTTTTGTTTATCCCATAATATTGATACACTTTATTGTCTGATTAAACCAGTAATAGCTGAAAATCATCTGAGCAAATTTTCAATACTATCAGAATTTATAAAATGTTATAAAACAAAATTGACACTTGACAATACTTACACTTGACAATATGGCCTTTTCTGGTGACTAACAAAATTATTTACAGTTAGTATCATCTTGCAAACCTCACAGTGAAAACAGGCTTTATGCCAGGTCTAGAAAAGCAGATAGAAATAGGATGAAAGTTATTTGTTTTCCATTTTCTAAATCTAGTTAAAAATTTTATAACTATTTTTTCCTGACAGTCTAACAATCAAACGCACAAAAGAGTGGAACAAAATTAGCCAATGTTCAATTCTAACTTGGCCATCCAATAGTTATACTGATTAATATACTTTAGGATAAGTATATTTTATTTATATACACAAAAGTTTCTGAAGTCATTTCTTCAAGATAGACAAATAGTATCAGAACGTTTATAATAATGGCAGTTAGTAAATAACCACTAACCTGATCAATACAATTAATCTTCTCAGCAGAATAGACCCCATAGCCACACCTGGCACAAGATTGAATATTCATATTGAAATTATATATAAAAAATTTAAATTCCAAGAGTCCAGTGATATTAAAAAAGTGCCTTGTTTCCGAAGAAAGATACTCCAGTCTGTTTGCGCTGTGCTTTTGAGCTGCACTCAGCTGTTGTCTGGTTTTTAAAGCTGTCACTTACTAAGAGGGTTATTTTGGCAACTGTGTTAAGAGTTCATAGAGTGAAAGAGATGCAAGAATTAAATGAAGCCTTTCTCTAAATAGATGAGTGAAGTCAGAGAAAAGCATTATGGTCATATGAAAATGAAGGCTATCTCATTGGTGATATATAAAGTAGGGAGTTCAATGTTCATTTGTCAGAGTCCCAGGGTTGCCTTCTAAATGTATTTCACATCATCTTCAGATTATTATGCATTCACTAAGAGTCTATTAAGGAAAGCACAAAAGGCCAAAGCATTTTCAGAGCAGGGAATGATTCCCAAGCTTGCTTTCTTTTCCTGCCCTTTGGCCTAGGCAGGTGAAAAAAAAATCAACAATATCTATTGTTTTTTATAAAGTACACAATGGGATTGGGAATTCCAGAAGTGCCTGAAAGAAAGATTTAACTTTCTTCAGAAAGATTCAACTTTCAAGTTGTTTTATTGAATATCTATTTGTCTTCAGGAATAGTTAGTCCTTAACTTTACCACCACAATTGATCCCATAATTACTGTTGCTAAACAAGACATTTGTTAAGTGACTTTTGCTTCATTTTACGACTTTTCTTGCCACTTGTTAACTGCAGTTAATGATACAGTTATTAAGGGAACCTAGCTTTCCCATTGAGTTTGATAATCAGGAGGTCACAAAAAGGGATCTTTTTGATCCAGGACACTGAAACCATTATAAATGATTACATGATTTTCAATTGCCAAGAATCTGTCAGAATCTGAATTTTGATCACATGACTATGGGATTCATCAATGGTCCTAAGTGTGCAGTGTGAGTGTCGCAACTCATTTTTTTCAATGCCTTTGTAACTTTGAACATCTAGATTTAATTATATTTCTTCCCTTAAGAGGACCCTGCCATAGGATCCTGCCATAACACCAGGAAGAAGATGATTATCTGCCTTGTTTGCTAATTCGAACTTTACCGCCGAAAAAGCATATCGCCTTCCTTAACTTGGTCCACTCCAGATATGTGAGGGTGACAGAATTGACCATGACTAGACGAAATAGCAGTTTATTCCTAAAAGAGGGGGGGGGGTCCAGCTGGCGAAAACTGAAATTCAGCTGCTTGGAGCGAGGGGGAAAAGAAAGAATCCCACTGGCCGGGATTGCGGATTGTGAAAACAAACGCTTGTTCCACGCTTAGCCCAAAGGAGGCGCTGTAGAGACTTAGCTGGACCGACCGGGAAGGCGGATCGCTAAATTCAAGTCTCTCCGCGGCAACTTCCTGCGTTGCCGCAGGGAGTAAAGTTTTCTGGCCGTTTAGTTTCGCTTTTGTCTTCGACGTAGCGTTGCGGACACCAGACAAAGCGAGAGGACCCGGGAGCTGTTCGTCGCGGGTAAGTATAGCTTATTTCAAGAGATAATCTCAATTCCCCCCCCCCCCAAGGCTCTATTCCCACCTCCCTGCTGATTTCTCTGCACTTCGGAAACTCCCTGATAGACGGCGGGCTTTTTCCAAAACTTTTTTTAAAAAACCCTATGCTTAAGTTCTCCTCGTTGTGTTTTAATTCGCTGTTAAACATTTTGGGACCGAGAACTCGGTCGTAAGAACCTCCAACAAATGATGGGATCTTGCAGTCTTTGTTTCCCTCCCTCCCTCCCACCTTGTAGTACTGATTCGTGCCGCGGGTTACTATTTTTGTTTTTAAAAACTTACTGGTGAAATTAGCACCTGTTGCAAGTTCTACCTGCCTGATTCGTTTCATGCAGCTAGTCCTCTTCGGTCGGTATCAGATCGTCATTCCAGAAAATAACGCAAGGTGTTCTTTTTCCGTGCTACGGAAAAGGCCGTCTGGGAAATTTCTGCTTGGCCTGGAGTTAGGAAAATGAGGAGTAAAGTACAGTTAGTTCTGTATTTCAGTTTCCATGCTAAGGCGCTTGGGACCAGCTCTTCAGTGTGGTTAAATTGATCTGATCAGTTTAGCCATGGTTGGTTAACTAATCCATGGTTCAATCAATTGATTAGAATTGCACAACAGGAAAAACTATAGGGTATCTACAGTCTGGGTTCATACAAGAAATGTAAACTTTGTGGTTTAGTGTGTTGTAGAACTACAGTTTCTTGCTCGTCTCCAACTGATGGACAAAAAACGGCCTGCTTGCTGAAAAAGAAAAAAAGAGAGAGGGATCTATTATATCATTTCCTCCTATGTTATTAACTGAAGCATTCTTGCTTATTTTCTGATGTGGGAAAAAAGCTGATAAAGATCAGATGATGATCTTATCCAGGATACATTTTTAAGGTTCCTGGTTAAAATGAAAATAAAAAAAAACAGAAGTGAAACAAAAAGTAGATTTTCTGGATGAAAGGAAAAGAAACTCCCTGGGGTTGCTCTTTGCCCAGCCAGTTCTGGGGTCAGGATAGTTTTTCTCTTGTCACAGTCTTCTAATTAAAGGTGGCAAAATCCAAACTGTTCTGCCTGGTATTTAATAGCTGTAAGGCAATACATAAGATAAGGATCTGGGAGAATCGCCTCTGCTGCTTTAGTACTTTGCAACTATTCCATTAGGAAATAAGAGAGTGCTGCAGCAGAAGCTGGGATAATAAGATGATAGATTCTCCTTTCCAAATTGATAAGGATACCGTAAAGGCAGGCAAGATTATGTTTGTAGAAACAGCATAACTCCAAACAAGTTGAGCTATCCCTAGTCTAGCAGATTTTTTGTTTTAATGGAGGTATGACTGGAATTATTTAAGTACCTACAGTTATCCAAGGGATATCTCCATATTGTCTATGGAGATTCTCAATCATCCAGGTCATGGTTGTCCCAAAGGTGTTTTTCAAAACGCAACTGGAATTTCTAGGGGTTTTTTTTCGCCTTTGAAAACATTTTGCTTCACATCCAAGAAGGTTCTTCAGTTCTTATTGAATGATGGAGAATGGAAGGGTTTCTATTATTTGCTGTCATCTGAACCACTCTGAAAGTCAAATTGGTCGTTAGCTCTCCAAGAGTTGGCACCTGGGGGTTTATCTGTACCCTCAGGATCACCTGAATCAGAATGCAAATGGCTGTGTAACCTTGATATTGTTGAAAGGACTGTGTTGTAGACAGGAAATAGGTAACCTCCCTCTCTGACTATACAATTTTAAACGTAGATGGTCTCTTTGACCCTCTTTCAAACCTTGGTCCTCTGTGTCCAGAATGTGAACTTTGTTGTCTGACACACCTATTGAATGGGGAAACAAAACAACCACAAACAAATGCACTAGAGAACACAAGAGATATAACACAAGAGAACAAACCCATCAGGACAAGATTCAGCAGTTCATCTGCATTTGAAAGACAAAGATCACTTTTTTGAAGACAGCAGGTTTCATATTCTGAACAGAGAGGACCACTAGTTTGAAAGATGGGTCAAAGAGGCCATATTCATGTTAAAATTGAACAGCATTTTCTCAACAGAGGGTGAGGGATACAACACCACTTATCATGTCTACAACACAGTCCTTTAAACAGTCCTGTGGAAAGTTATCACCCAGTCCTCTCCCAGAAAAATGAAATATCCTAGGAAATATTGAAATGGCAGAATATTATATTTCCCTGGATGTGAAAAGGAAGAAACATGTTTTGAAGAGAGAATAGCTCCCTGTAGTTTCCTGCCCATTCCCTTTTGTCAATGGGCCATTAAGAGTTCTCCCCTTCAGCTCCAGGAGGATGGGATTAAGGCATGATAATATTGGCCCTTTATCCAACTCACTACATGGCATCTGAGAACTCAACCAAACCTGGATTCAAAACACACGAGTTGCCCCTGCATGGCCCCATGGGAGTCTGACAACCAATCAGAATACAAGATCAAAGGCCAGAGAGGGCTTTGCCTTCTTCTTCTCCACCAACATTTAAGCATGTAATCACCTTTTCTGTTCAGGACTCATGTGGTCCACCATTAAACCATCTTTCCAAGCAGCCTCCATGTGTCCAGTGTCTTTTTCCCCACTTGGAGCCGAACCCAGAAGGACATTTCTTTCAACAATTGGCACCCCAGAGATGGGACTCCAAGCTAGCCTAACCAATGGATATGGCCCAAGTAAGCCTCCCATGCCGGCACAGACTCCTTTGAATCTGTGGGTGGACTTTACCTTGGCCTTAGCCATTTGGATATAGGTTTTAAAGGGGCTTTGAGTTTGAACTCAAAGGCTGCCTGGAAAGAAGGTGAGTACCTCTAAATTTTAATTCTCTAAATTTTAATTTTAAAGCATGGCAAAGCGTGGGAAATTTGTGTATGCCTGCATGTGTGTGAGTGATGAAATCTTTTTCCCAATCACAGCTGGATCTTGGTTCCTCTGTTTTACCAAGACAGCTTGGAAAGTATTAGGGTCAGGCCAGAGCACAGGACTTTCTGTTAGGGAAAGGAGAGTGTGTGTGAAAATGGATGGGAAAATGAATGAAATTTTGTTGTTGTTGTTGCTTTTGTCCTGTGAAAGCAAAAAAGCAAAGGCCCATTGTGCATAAAGAGAGAAGGAGGTGCTGGTACTAATTGCAGAGGGGAGAGGTCCTCTCCAGATCACGTTTCTGGATCCGGAAAACCTTAATGGAATTCCCTACGAGGAAAGGGGCCGAATACTTCGTTGAGGGAATCAAAGTCCTTCCCGGAATTTTTTTTCTTCTGAAAACTTACAGTGAGTCACCCGGCTAGGCCAAAGTGAGCCCTACATGTAAAGGGTCATGGGAATGTTAGCTCGTGGGTGACAGAAATTTCCCTTGGAGATTTCCTTGAAGCTTGAAACGCCAGACACATGCCTGCCTATCTTGGTTGGCATGGAGAGCAAGGGAACTGTGCGGCAAATGGGCTTTGCTGAAAGATAATACAGGAAAACTAATTTGGCTACATAATGGTACTTATAAGAAAAGGAAAAATGTTGGGGTTCCTTTTTTTTCTCTTGTCTCTTTGTCTCTTTCTCTGTCTTCTAAGCAACCACGGCGTTTGTTTCTTAAGATTTGTGCCTTCCCTAATTTAACAGATTTGTGGGAATGACTAGGGTGTGTAAACGTGAGAGTTCTTTTCTCCCCCGCCCCCTCTTATTTTCTCCTTGTGTATATGTGTGTCTAAGTCTTTGTGCACCCTTGAAGTAATTGTAACAATAAAATGTCTCCAATCCAAAAAGACAAGAATTTTAAAGTGTTCAAAGAAAGAAAAGAGTAAACTGGCACAACTGCTTGCCCTTCCTCTTCACACTTGCAGTTTTCTTCAAACAATCATACAGTTTGTAGTGTACATAGATTTGCAAAACAATGAGATAAAGGAATATTCCTGAACTTTGTTTTATTTATCTCATGGTTACTATGAAATTGTGTGAATGCATAATGCGGTGCATGTTATCTCAGTTTGCAGAGCTTGGATTCATTGAATGAGTTTACCGAAAATGTAAATATTGTAAAATATACAGACTCATACTACACTCCATTTCATGCTGAATAAACTAAATTATTAATATATATTAAATATAAAACTATCTTTAGTTTTTAAAAAAGCATTTTATTAAAATAAATTTGATAAAAATAGACAAATCCATTTTTTTTATTTTTTAAAAATTGATTTTACCCATCCCGCACTATAGTAAACTATTAATGTTTAAATCAGCTTGTATCTTGCAAATTACAATATTGTGAAAAGTTTCTTACTGAAAAAAATATACAAGAAGTTGATTCAGCAAATAATACTATGGACATCCATTTGTAAATTGCTTTTTTCATGATTTCTTTCTATAACTTTCTGAAAATGCTAAAGATTATGAGAACTAAGCAATCCTTCATATTCAATCTCCCAAAATGTTTCAAAGTTCATAAAGGCACAAATATAGCAACTGACCACAGACATTAAAGCGACTTTTCTTGGGAACACAGCAGTATGTTTGGAATTAAAGCGTATACAATTCAATGGAATGTAACTTAAAGCAAGTATGTTCTCTTTACATGCATGTCCTTTTTGTCATTTCTCCAGTGATATTAAATAATAAATAAGGAACAAAGAAATTGGAGTGCAATAATTTTGTAAAATATATTTCAATCTAAATTTGAGTGCAAACGTCTAACCTCTAGATCAGTGTTTCTCAACCTTGGCCACTTGAAGATGTCTGGACTTCAACTCCCAGAATTCCCCAGCCAGCGAATGCTGGCTGGGGAATTCTGGNGAGGGCTTATTTTAGCACATGCGCTCAAAAGCCCGATTGGGCTTATTATCTGGGGAGGTCTTATTTTCAGGGAAAGAGGGTATATAATACATATTATTTCACACATCCAGTTGTGATATTCATTTGTTTTGATTCAGGGATGTTTACACGAAATGGTACCGACAAAGATGCTGGTGACTTACAAAAATGTTTTCGGGACATTGGTTTTGAGGTTCACATCCATAATGATCTCAGCTGTAATAAAATGAGGGAAGTTCTTGGTGAAGGTACTGTTGTTGTTTTTTTTAACTTGACCTCTTAACTATTATCTTTAAAAAATAGTTTGGAGAAGTTTTTTCTAAGTTGATGCCAACCAGACACATTAGGATAACTATGAAAAATGCTTAACCAGGTGTCTGGGAATTCCAAAAATTCCAACACGTGGGCACAGAATGAGAAAAAGAATAATAAATCAAATATCATCTTCCTTCCTTGGAGCTTTAGGATCTTCAAATTGTATACCAATTTCAGCACTTGAAATGTTTTAAGATTATTTATTGTTAAAATGATGGGCCTGTTTTAATACACAGAAAAATGCCCTTTTTAATTTTTATTGCTAAGTAGAGCTGAGTGACATGTTCATTTGAGCTGTGGTGGCGCAGTGGTTAGAATATAATACTGCAGGCTACTTCTGCTGACTGCCAGCAGTTCAGCAGTTTGAATCTCACCAGGTTCAAGATTGACTGAGCCTTTCATCCTTCCAAGGTTGGTAAAATGAGGACCCAGATTGTTGGGGAAATACACTGACTAAACCGCTTAGAGGAAGCTGTAAAGTACTGTGAAGCGCTATGTAAGTCTAAGTGCTATTGATATTTAATGATGGAACATGTGATTGATTTGTAGTTGCCAATGAAGATCACAGTGAAGCTGCTTGTTTTTCCTGCATCTTATTAAGCCATGGAGATGAAGGCCTTATCTATGGCACAGATGCATTCATGGCAATCAAGGATTTGACGACACTTTTCAGAGGAGACAGATGCCAAAGCCTAATTGGAAAACCCAAATTGTTCTTTATTCAGGTAAGAAGGCGTTTGCTGAATTTAATTCTTAAAGGATAGAATGTTTATCAAAACAAAGTTGGAAATAGCCTGACATGTGTTAAAACAACACTAAAACTGCAAGTAAAAAGGGTTCAAAATTCATAGACATTTTCTTGTAAAATATAACATAACGTACATTTGTGATCTTTGAAGAAAATCTGGGCTGTCGTCATCATTCCTTGAAAAGTCTAAATCTTTTCTTTTTTGTACTGCGCGTGCCATAACTGATTGTTCTCCTTTTACCCTTTTGTGGGATGCAGTGGCCCATTGTTCTATATTTCTCAGTGTGGGGAAGGATACTAAGCTTAGCTGGCCGAGATTAATTTTGTTGACATATATGAGGTCTAATCCTATCAATGAGAATTATGCTAGATGGACCAGTAATTTGGTTTGTTTATAGGAAGCTTCACATCTCAAGTTCAATTGCCAAATCTGTGCAGCTCTATCTCTCAAGACCTTCTCCTCTCATTGTTTACCTTTGTGACACGACTTTCTCTTCGTTAGTATGTATTTTGGCTAGCCCGGGGACAAATATATCTCCCAAAACTAGGTGTGAGTATAATTTTGGATACTTTATGAATAATAAATCATATGCCCACTAGCTACAGCTTGGCCTTTTCTGTATAGTCTAGTAATTGAAATGCAGCTGGAACATTTATGCTGCAGCCTTCAGTCTTAAAGCATTTTTGATGGAACTCTTGACTGTTTATCAGTGGTAAAAGCCATTAATGTACACTATATCACTTCAGTGGTTATCCAGGTGGAATTCGTTAATGTACAGTATTTAATTTTACAAACTAAGTATTTCTTCAGTCACCACCATGAATCAGCTAGAGAACTAGCTATCATAATGAGCCAAGGTGGCGCAGTGGTTAAATGCAGCACTGCAGGCTACTGCTAGATCAGCAGTTCAGCGGTTCAAATCTCACCGGCTCAGGGTTNTTTCTTTTCTGTGTAATTTATATCTCTATCTTGACTGGGAATGCTGACATCATCTTGGCCATGCCCACCCGGTCACATGGCTGGCAAGCCACACCCACCTGGTCACATGGCCAGCAAGCCACTCCCCCCCCAGTCACATGGCCGACAAGCCACTTCCACCCGGTCACATGGCTAGCAAGCCACTCCCACAAAGCAGGCCACACCTACAGAGTAGATTCCAAAAAATTTTGAAACCTACCATTGATCCACTCCCAAAAAGCATATATCATCAAAGATAAATTTTAAAATAGTAAAAAATCAATATTTTGAAGAATATATGTCACTTGAATATCTTGAATATAAAATGCAGTTGTCCCACAAAGCTGAAACAAAATATTTAATTATAAAGGAGCATTGCAGCCCTATATCCTCAATCTGAACCTGCCCTGCACTTATACTAGCTACCTTCTAAACCAACTTAATAAAATCCTGTCCAGACTGAGATATTTTGGCAACAGTTGGAAAGCTATTCAATCCAGGCAGGAGGCTACAATATCTTCCCACTGGACAATTCACTTGTTATCATTCCTCATTACCACTAATCACTAGCAGCACTGCTTCTTGTAGCCAGGTTTTATTGGGCATATGTACATTTATGGGCGTGCATATACACATGCAGGTGTAGTGGTCTGTGGCAGTGATGGGCTGCCAACTTTTTTACTACCAATTTGGGCACACTCCCACATATGCAGACTTGTCCAAGCAGGTGGGCAGAGCCTCTCACCACTGCTACTACCAGTTCGCCCAATTCAATCTATGGGAATAGCTTTGAAAATCAGGAAAATGAAGATCCACAACCATGGTAGGATTCTTTTTTTTTTTTTACTACCGGTTCTGTGGGCATGGCTCCAGAACTGCTCAGAACCTGCTGAAAACCACCTCTGATCCACAGGCTTGGCACTAGTCAGATAAGAGACATTTCAGTCCACAAGGAGTGGGCAGACATGGTAAGCATTTCAGAAAAAATACTTCTTAGTTCCCTGGAAAGTAAAGGCAAGGAGAGAAAGATACCATCAGTTAAAAGTTTTGTTCTAGACACTGTTTCTTGTAGGCTGATATTAATGTAAAATATATTCTTCATGCAGCGGAAATGAATAAAGAAGTGATATTCAAGTTGTTCCTTTCAATCCTTGTAAACAAAGAATGCCATTATGCACTAGTCACAGATGTGATAGAGTAGAAAGAGGAAGAATAATAGGGTTTTAGTGCAGTGAATGATTAATCTCATGATAAAATAGTTTTTTTTTTAAAAAAAACTGCAGTTTTCTCCAGTTAATTCCTTGTAGAAATGGAACTTTTTGTGAATAGTTGATGTTCTGAATTTATTTCTGGAGAAAAACAGAGAAAGTTCACTCCAGTGTAAAAACTGTATGAATCCACAGATTTCTCATCTCTAATGAGAAGAAAATTCTTCTTGTCTTGAAACATAACTGGTGTACATATCATGTCTGTCTGTTACTCTTCACTAAAAGCCCTGTGTTTTCTAAATACTTAGAAATGAGAGAAAAATTTGCACATGAGTTAGTTTCCAATGATTATAGACTATGTTTCAAATTTAACATATTGTATTATTATTTTTCCTTTTATCTTGGCACTAGCATTCAAAAGCCATAGTACCTTTCTTCAGACAAATCTAATTTATTTCTTAAATATGGTGAATTCTGTTCAGCATAGAGGTTAGAATCGGTTTTGAAAATCTTCATTTTGACTGTAAAGTGGCATTTATTAGCAGACCTGCTATATTTTTTTCTCTCCTTTGCATCTACACAGTCTTTCCAAAATAGTTTAAGCAGATTAAAGGTTCTTTCTGCAGGCAAAAGACAAAAGGGGGAAAAAAGAAAGTCCTATTCATAAATAAATCTGTTTGCATAATACTAATGTCCTTTGAATTGTTCATTTTGTTAATACTAATGTTTTTATCTGTAAGATGAAAGAAAAGTAGGAATTTCATATATTGCTAAACAGTATTATATATCAGTTCCTAAATCTGTTTTCCTTTTTACAAATCTTTTATCAATGCAATTCTTACAATTCTAATCTCAAGGGACTTTTTGTTGCATTTTATTATACTGTTGAATTTCCAGGATGGTAAATGAATCTTCCAGGATATTTTTTTTGTTTTTTGTTTTGCACAACATTCCAAATAGCAACTGTTCTTACTGGACAAGAAAATTAGAAATAAAATATCACATTCTTATTCTTAGCAAAGACCACATCCTTTGGGGAAAACTGTCAACTCTATGATATTTTTTGTTTGTTTTGGCCTATGAAATCATTTTATTTTATGTGTATATGAGTAACTTAAATTTACATAAGATTGACAAACAATATTGGTACCATCTGATAATATTTTGTATGGTTATAGTTTCTGTTTGTATTAAATAGATGAATAGGATTAGTGAATTAGTGATTCCTGAAAAGAAAAGATCTGTCTTCTAGAAATCCTTTGATTATAACAGCCTTGAGAAACAGAGATGTTCATCTTTAACATCCATTCATTCTTTGTTTATTTTTCAGGTTGAACTAATAATCAAATATGGATGCCACAAGAAGAACTAGTATTGGTACATAAATTCTAAACATGTTTTTGCCTGATTTCTCTTTTCACAGCATTTTTGATACTTGATATTTGTCAATATATGCCTTGTTCAATGAATGCAGTCAGAACAAGTATCTGTTACAAAGTTACAATTTATTACAGGCCACTATGTTATATTCCCATTCTTTTTCCAAGATGACTTTGATCCACATTTCAAACCTAATCAAGAATTTGGCTATGGACATTCTTAAACCAGCTTAGAATCGGATTTTCATACCTAAAGTCTTGCCCCTTTCGTTAAGCTGTTGAAGCAGAAAATGTCTTGTCCATATTTATATTTTACCTTTATGCTTATTACACACTTTGGAAATGTGGTCTGACTGAGTTGGCAAATGTGGTCTTGCTCACTCACACTGAGTTGTGCTTATTCATCAAAAAGTTCTACATGTACATTTTTAATTTTACTTGACATTTTTCAAATACTGCTCTGAATTGTATGTGAATACCAAGCACATTTCAACATGTTTAACCATTTCTATGAACCAAAAGGTCAATTTGGTAGAATTTTGTTAAGAACAAAGAACAATTCTGCTTGTAACTAGTCTGCCACTTTCATACAAATCCTTCAGGCTATCTTTCAAGAACTAATAGGCCAGTTCTGACCTTGTTCATGGGCCTTGATAGTATGCAATAGTATCAATAAAATGTATCATGCAGAGAATAAAAGGAGCTTATACAAGAAATGCTTTCATTTGTATCTGGCTTCAGATCATAGTATCTACAACAGCATATTTTCTTTTTAAACACTGTCATTGCTTAACTATATAGCATTACTCACATTAGGATTAGGTAACACATTATCCTTTCAAATATATATATATTTATAAAGTATTTTGGTTTACCATATATAAATTTAATGCTTTTTAAATTGTTTTGATATATATAATCAATTGAAAACCATACAGTAGGCAATGCTGTGTTGGGAATGTTCTCACAAATACCATATTTTTTGGAGTATCAGACACGCTTTTCCCTTCCTAAAAGAGGGTGAAAATTTGGGTGCATTTTATACACCAAATATAGCTCCACCCATCTGCCAGCCCCCACCTTTTGGCCTCTGCCTCCCAGGAATTTGCTTCCTTGCAGCAAATAGCAGCCTGTTTCAGTTTCAGTTTCAGCAAAGCCTGATTAGCACAAGCAACTGATTGTCAGTTGGATCGGCCTCCTGACGATCAGCTGTTTCAAGTTGCAGGATTGGCATAGCCTATTACCGCCTCCAAGCACCCCATGTTTAGCTTCTGTATCCCATTTTTTGCCTCCGCGTGCCTCGTTTTCAGCCTCCACACACCCCATTTTCTGCCCATTCTGATCTCTGCCACCTGGAATGGGCGGAAAATGGGGTGCATGGAGGCTGAAAATGGGCATGCGGAGGTGGCAATAGGCTATTGGCAATCCCTGCAGCTTGAAACAGCTGATCATCGGGAGGCCGATCCTACTGACAATCAGTTCCTTGTGCTAATCAGGCTGTGCTGAAATTGAAACAGGCTGTTTGCTGTTTGATGCAAGGAGGCAAATTGCTGGGAGGCAGAGGCAGATTTTTTTTTCTTGTTTTCTTCCTCAAAAGCTCGGTGTGTCTTACACTTTGGAGCATCTTATACTCCAAAAAATATAGTACATACACATCATATTACACATCATATTAATGAGTTGGCAACATTTTGCAAATGCAAGTATAAACAATACTAAGGAACACAAATTAAAATCAGGAGATAAAAATAAAAGGAAACCTAATGAAGCTTCGTTGCATAAACACCATCTTCTGTACTTTTCTGTATATTTCTGTCCTGGCAAACACATTCCTATATACACTTTGTCCTTTATATCATCTCCAAAAAACAGCCTTCTTGATTTTCAACTTCCTCTCAATGAATTCAGTTTCCTTTCATATATTTGTGATTGTATCTTCAACCATTGTCCCTGAATGACCAAAGCTTTTCAATAATTATTTTGGACTTCATATATGTATATTACCAATTCATAACTTTATCTCTTCTTGTTTTACCACTCACTTCTTAAATACAGTAACCATTTTCTCATGGCATTCAATTTCCTTTTGTGAAATTTGCAACTTTCATGCAATAGATAGAATCTGTTTAGTATGTATATAAGTATTTTTACTATTTAAAAAAAATCATTCCTCACAATGATTCACTTGTCTTCTTCCAGTATTTGCATGTCTGGAAATTTCTCCATTCATTTCCCTATTTTTAGGAAATATTATACCAAGCTGCACAAATTAATGATCTTATTCTAATCTTTTGTGATTTATGAATCCTTCATTCTATTTTTCTTGTGCCACACTACGTAGAAAATTTTGGCTGTGGGAATTTTGTAATTTGAAGTTCGCACATCTTAAAGATGCTGAGGTTGAAAACCACTACATTAGAACCTTCTTTTTAATTTTCCCCAAAATTGCTCTTAATTTTCTTTGTTTCTTGTTCCAAGATACACTTTTGTGCAATGTAGTGACATATTCAGGATATGTTGGAGCTGTTCATTTGGGAAAAAAATGCAGAATGCCATTCCTTATTTATTGAAGTTACTATTTTGTTTCATGTATGTTTAAAACATAGGTGAGAGTAAATGACAAAAAGAGAGATGGCTTGATAATACTTCAGGGCCAGAATTTGGTTACCCAGCATTTAGAATTAATATTTGTGTAGGAATAGCAATCTATTTTTATAAAACATGTCATTTTATTTTCCTTTCTTAGGAAATTGTGACTGCAGTGTCTACAAGCATGGCTTCTTCATAAAATCACCACCACCTCAGCTTTTTAATAATCAGGTACAGTTAGGAAAATGATAGCTTTACTATCATATCATCAAACTACATTCCTAATGTATTGATTTTCTACTAATATTTGAACTTGATTTTTCTCCTTTCTGCAGGGTTCCTGGAAAAGGAGATACTTTATTCTTTCTCATTCTCCTCAAAATGGTTACATCTTAAGCTATCACAAAGGCCAGCAAATAAAGGGCCAAATTGAAATCAATGAGTAAGTATTTGAACAAATGTACCACAATTTTTTAAACTGAATTATTAGTGAAATACAACATTTTTGATGTTTTTAATAATAAATGTTGCTGCAATTTTCCCTGGTTCTTTAACACATTTTGGTCTACATTATATGATATGTGGCTGCACCTTCCTTGTATCACAGACCCTGGGCCCAAAATTCTTTATGGTCCTAACTCTGTTCCACAAATATTTAAGTACCTAGTTCTTCCATAACCCCTAGCATAGTATGGCTAGGTTTTGTTTTATGCTGTAGGATCATTATCACCATTTTTATTCCTAACATCTAAGTTACTTCAATTTGTTGTTTAATTCAGGCAGCATACAATAAGTAAATAAATATTAGAGAGGAAGTTCGAAGGCAACAGTCAAATAACACTTTTCATGCATTAAAATAAATGGGTGTAACAGAGTTGGATCAGTTTAGTCGCTTCCTGACTGTGAGGATTTGTGAAAAGAGACCGTCTAGGATTATTAAAAAGGGCTTCTTTTTGTGAAGGTGTAATCCTGATTCTATGATGAAAACCCTATAGTGACGAACTATCTAATGGTTTGCTAGGGTTTTGTAGCCTGGGTATGACCGCTCTACGATTGCCTAGGACCTTCTTGGGGCAGGAATTTTATGTACCAGATATAAGCTACAGACTCTCTTCTCATATCTGATAATATTTGTTTACCTATTTTATAATTATTTGACAGGGCTTCAAAAATAGAAATTGGCATAGGTGACTTTGAGAAAATGTCTGTTGTGAAAAAGATGTTCAGGTGCCAGCCCACTGAAGTGATGAGCATCACTACAGAGAATAGAATATTTTACCTTATTGGAAGAGATAGGTAAGTTCACAATCCTTTTATTAGACATGGTCTTAATTTGTTATAATGTTGGAAAACAAGAACACCCAAACTTTAAAAATGGTTCCTCAGACTAAAACGTTTCTGGGGTACGACTCTGTTTAAACACATCCAAAGAAGGAGGCTTTTTACAACCTTGAAACCTGCATGTATTAAGAAATTGCTCTTATTTATATGATATTTTTCTAGCATTCAACTGTAATTCACCTCCATATAATTTCTGACCATTATTCTGAATTCTGCAGTTTGGATAGAAGAGAGATATTAACTGCAGTGGGCATGGTTCAATACTGTTCATGACAAGGTTAGATTTTCCAGATATGTAGCATAAAGCTGCAAAAGAGAAAACTATGGAGAACAATTGCTCACAGTTATGGGAAGAGGGAGAGGGGGAGGAAGGAAGAAAAGAAGGAAGGAAGGAAGGAAGGAAGGGAAGGAGTGAGGAAGAATAGAGGAAGGAAAGGGGAGAAGGAAGGAANTGTGTGTGTGTGTGTGTGTGTATGTAAAGTTGAAACTAAAGATTCAAAAACATTCAAAAATTAAATTATTTCATTTTCATTAATGCTTATCTAGTTTTGTGAGTTAATTATTTACATTTTATGTTGGTTTTACCGTTTTGTTACTTCATGTGTTGTGGGAAAGGCCTAAATTGTTGCACCCTATGATATTTACATCATCATATTGTTTTGGTGGAATATTTACTTTCTTTAGATTTGATTATATGAGTTTTCTTTTACCTCTTTCAATCAAAGTCATGCCCCCCACTTGTAGTTAATTAGTTTAATTGTTTTTCAATTGAGATTGAGGTTTGTAAGCAAACAGTTGCAGATAAGTAAAAAAGTGTTACAACATTTTCATATGGCAGAAGGACATAACATGTATTTAACAAGGACATAAATGAATTAATCTATAAGTAACTCTTACAAGTAAGTCCTTTTAGAATGCTAAATGGCCATCTTAGAATTCCCCCAGCCCTTATGATGTTTAATTGTCATTATTCTATATTTTTTTAAATTTTAATCCTAATTTAATTTTTAATAACTTTTATAAGTTGTTTTATTTATTGGTTATATTGTATTGTACACCACCAAGTGTTCCTCCTTGAGAGAGATTAGTGGCTAAGAAATATGAAAAAGTAATAAATAAAAAAACAAATAAATTCTATAGTATTGCTTTAAATGTACTGGAAAGGTTGCCCCTCCCCACCCTTTGAATTAGTAAATTGTGAGGGTGAATATTCGAAGTTGGATCGTGGCTTTAAAGGATATATCATCCTGCTTGAAATGTGCAGTGTGGTGCACCTGCCTTTTGTATGCATTCTCCAATTCTAACAACAGTGCAATAATAAAAGAACATTGATGCAAGTACATCTTTTCTGCCTTTCAACTGGAGCAGAAGAGGCTTACATGACCTCAGCTACGTGCTAGGCCATAGTAATGGCCCTTTCAATAGCCTTATAGAAAAGTCCAGTGTGACCTATTGCTGACAGAGACAAATTGTTGAGTCTGTGAACACGCAGTTTGCTTCAGTTTCTGGTGTTGAATGAGCAGGATGAGATACTTGCGTTACTAGAAAAGATAATAACTATCCCTCAGCATAAGGTGGACGTATTTTTCAGATGCAGAGTAGTGTACTACTTGACGAAGAACCAAGGTACCGTTCTTTCTTTTTTCCTATTGACTCGATGGGAGAGGATATATCTTAACATCTATCTAATGTTAGATGTTTAACTATCTAGTGTTAAATATTAGTGAAATTTTAAAAGTTTAGAATCATCGTTTGTTAGAAGAATTAAAGAAAGGAACATGTAAAATAAAGCAGTAGTCAGGATATGTCTGATGTTACATTTATGTTATTTGTAACATGCATCGGTAATCAAAAAAGGCTGTAAAGTAGATAAAACATATTAAGTAGCAAATTGTGATTTTGATAACAATTGCAGAGGATCAGTATATAGCTTTGGTTGAAAGCGATAAAAGAGGAAACAATAGTTCACTGTAGTCAGTAACAGAAATATTACAGAGGTAACTTTCCTTAAACTTGCATTTGTATTTCCTTTTGTAGGCTTTAGGCTTATTATTGATTGTTGGAAGACAGTGAAACTTTTTTTCTGTCTTAAGTAATTGAGCTGACCATTTTTAAAAAAATCAGTGATCCTCTTCAATTATTATCATGGTAGTTAATCATTTGGTTTGTCAGATAAATATAGGAAATTCCAAAACGTGTGGCTTGTATATTGCAGATTTCCTTCTTTAATGAACCTTGCCAAACATTATTCATAAAATTTGGGTGATTTCCAGTAATCTAAGTCTGGACTTTACATGGTCCTTAACATACTGTTATTCCAAAATAGGTGAAGAAAATAAGGTAACAAGCTGATCTTCGACAGCTAGTCCTTGAATTCTTAATGGCACCTCTTAGATAAAATGTAACTTCAAATATTCCTGAGATTAAAAAATATATTGATTATCTCAACAAGCGCCAAATTAATGAGATATGTTTATTGGGTGGGATCCTGTTTGAGGCTATTTTGATCTTGTTTGTTGTAGTGGATGTCCTTTGCCAAAGGACTAACAGGGAGATCAGAATTAGGTCTATCCTAGAAACCTTGAGTTGAAAAGAGCCAAATAGGACATTAGGAAATAAAACTTAAAACATCTTTGGCAAGTAGTTGTCAAGCCTCTTCCACTCACCCCATTAGTGAAAACCTATTTATTAATTACCTGTCTTGGCAATTGGTTACACTGTTGAATTGGTACTCTTTTTTCCTATTGCACAATAGGAATATATCTTTATGTGTTATAATTCCATTGTTCAATGCCCTACACTCATTTTATAATGGTGATGTGACCAGTATTATTAAAGAGTATACATTTTATGGTGAAGAGACCAATACTGTTAAAGAGAACAAAATAAGGAAAAATATATTTAAATTAGATGAATAAAATTTGCATTAGTCAATTACAGAGGTCTTCAAACTTGGCAACTTTAAGACTTGTGGACTTCAACTCCCAGCTATGCTGGCTGGAGAATTCTGGTAATTGAAGTCCACAAGTCTTAAAATTGACAGGTTTTGGGACCCCTAGTCAATGACTATGTTCAATATTGGGTTAACCTTCAAAGGTAACAAACTAGAAAAAATTATGATCAACATTTATTTTGTTAACAGCTGAAACGTACTGTAGAGGTTATCAGTGGGGCCTAGGGTGGGGAATATGTTTACAGTTATGTAGGACTTATTGTCTAGTTTTCTGATAATTTTTTCATTGCCTGTTCTTCTCTAAACCCGTGTGTGTGTGTGTGTGTGTGTGTGTATCAGTAATTTGAATATGTTG